GTCCCCTCTCTTGTCCTGCGGAGAGGGCACCTGGCCTCATCCCCACCTATCCTCATTTCACATCATCATTCCTGACGGCCTGGCATCTGAAAAAGACTCTCCAACAACAGCAAGAATCACTTCCTAACCTCGGCTTTCCAGGCCCGTTCCGTCTCCTCAAGAATGTTCCTGTTGATTTCGTTGTGCTGGTTCTTCAGCTTATCCAGCTCCATCTCCCACAGCTGCCTGCAGACGGGAACAGAGCGAGTCAGCTTAGGCTCTGGAATGGGGTGGAACCGTGGAAGACCAACAGCTTCCAGACCGCGACACCAGCCATCTGTCCCAAGCCAGCGTGTGTCAGCATCCCGAGTGAGCTCTCCCAGCGCGTGCGAACAGCTGGTGCGCAAATGCGCCGGGCGAAACGAGGAGAGGGCAAAAATTCCCCTCGGGAAGCGTCAGTCCAGCTCCAGGGAAAAGTGTGCAGGTCTGAAGCGGGAAGCAGCCCGAGGCAGCACTCGGAATTAAGCCATTCCGACCCCGGGGCAGTTCAGAGCTGGCCCTTCCCACCCGTCAGCCTGTGCCTGGAGTTCTCTGCCCAGCCTGGAAACACCCCCGTGTGCCAGCGTTCAGCACGGTGGGGCAGCTGCCGGGAACAGAGGGGGGAAAGGGTCTCCCTAGTTCTGGGAAGTGGAACTTCAGAGGTGGCAGTTACAAGCCGAGTCGATGCACTGAGCATCAACGCTAATCTCAGGGGATCTTGGTGTCACCAGAACCTGGGAGTCTGCTTGTGACCAGGATCAGAGGATTTAATCCCGGGACCGGGGCAGCAGCCTGCTGCAGGAGGAGAGCAGCCCTCGGAGCGTGGATCAGGACAGCACTGCCAGGCCTCTCCCCCCAGCCCACGCCACCGGCAGCGTCCGGTTCACGCCACGGAAAAGCGACTGGAAGGAAAGGAGCATCCCAGAGCGCTAATCCCACCACGGGCCTTACTTCTCATCGGACTGCTCGGCAATCAGAGAAGCGATCTTGTTTTCCTTCTCCTCCTGCTCCTTCAGCAACCTGCAGGAGAGAGAAAGGAGCGGTGGCATCACCCACTGCAACACCGCCACCGCCCAGCCCCTAACGCCACCGGCGCCCAGCGTAGCGCTGCCGGCTGCACCGCTGGACACGCTGGAAAGCAACCGGGAACAGCCTCCGGAGAGAGAAGCGTGCGGTATGGCAGCACTGCACGAGGATGGTGGCGCAACGGGAGCGGTGCCACCCCGACACACGCCTCAACCGCTCGCTCAGGGGAAACGGGCCGAGGCCTTGGAACCGTTACTAAGGGAGCCGCAGCCAAAGCTACCAAGGGAATCGGACCTCCACGGCCTGACAGAACGGCTCTGTAAAAGTTCACCTTCAGGCCTTCACAGGCAACGGGCACCTTGCTTGCACCTGACCCCCCCAGGATCTAGGGACGTGCCCCTACCCCCAGCACCGCCGCAGCCCGGCCCCCTGCCGAGAGGCTCTGGGTGCTGGAACGCAGCAGCACGCGGAACCAACTGATCCTCTTCTGCTTGTGCAGAGGGCTAAGCAACGCCTTTTCTCCCCCCAGATTAATTCTTTCCTCTCCATACTCATACCTTCTGCCTTTCTCACAGAGTTTCTCGATTTCTGCTTTCAGATCCTGCTCTTTCTGCAAGAATTCTTTCTTTTCTTTCTCCATCTTCTTCTTCGTCTCTTCTCGCTTGATCGTAACGTCCTGAATTGCTTTCAGGATCTCCTAGGTTAAAACAAGCATCACGCAGTGAAGGAGAACTCCCAAATAACGGGTTTCTGTTTAAACCCCTTACTATTGTAGCTTCGTTGAAGGGAGATTACGGGATTACTCGAGTCCCCAGAATCGTTCTGTTTGGTAGATCCAGACAGGATACAGAGAGCGGTTGTTAGGAGAAAACCCAGTAGACAGATGGTCTAAACCACAGGTCCTCCGGCCTCTTCTGGCGGATCTTAAGGAGCAGCGAGTGCTGCTCTGGTTTAGACCCAGCCAACGGGTATAGGTGAGCTACCACAGGGCCAGGCGTGACCCATTTAACCCAGTGATCCTGGACCAACGGCCAAGGAGACCTGAATAATCCCACAGAGCCAATGCTCCTCCCTCCCCACCCATCCTCATTTGGAAAAAACCGCCCTGCTGGTTCAAGGGGCGTTGCAAGATCGCCGTCAGGAGCGGACACGCGTGCGAGACGCCGCGTCGGGAATTAGCTCCGACCCGCTCAGCACCCTGCAGGGGCCGGGCTCATCGCTGTGAAGCAGCGCAGCGTGCAGGGGACCTGCCTTTTTTTCTCCTCACAGCCTGCTCCGCTCCCCGCCGGGCCCCTGCGCAGGCGGCCAAAGCAGCCCACCTTAACCGTGTACACAGTGCCAAGGTCCAGGTACCTGGTGGTTCTTCATCTCCTCTTCCCTCCGCTGCTGGAGCTGCTTAAGCTGCACCTGCAGCTGATTCTCCACTTGCCTCTGTTTGTCCAACACCTCTTGGTACCGCTCCTTCAACAAAGCCCTCTCGGACATCATTTTGTCCTGCAGTGGAGGGTGGAAAATTAGGGAGAACCTTCCCCTTCCCTCCCTCATGCCGAAGAGAGCGCAGAGAGGGGCAGGAAGCTCAGCAGCACCCAGCAGGTGCCACCGCCAAGAACGGCAGCTGAACGCCTTCCGCGTTCACGGCACAGGCTCTCCAGGTCTCGAGGAAGGGAGGTGCTGGCTGCAGCGGGGGCTTAAGAACTCCGAGGCCGGTACTTGAATGAGAAAACCCACTCGGGCTCCTCTGCCCGGGGAACGGCAGCGTGGGAGGGTAAAGGGCACGGCCCAGCCCTGATCGCAGGGCTTTGATAC